ACCTGTTCGAAGAGCGGCTAAGATATTTATACATATATTTGAAAACGGAGCTCCAAAAGCTCCTGGACTCTGAAGAACCCAGCGGCCCCTTTTCTTGTTTTCAGTGTTGTTTGCTATTTCATTAGCTGACGGACATTGCCACCTAGGCCTCCATTGAAACAGCCTGATATGGCTGGGGCTATGGCCTCAAGTCGGATGGCCAGATGCCTCCTCTTGCTTCGGTTTGAGCCAGAGCATGGGGATGTCAAGGAGGATCCAACCGCGGATGAGTTTCGCACGGTTTGCATGGTATGAAGTCCTCAGGCTGGAGATGCCCCTTTGGATCTGGAGTGAGACAGCCCAGATACTGTAAATGGTTTAGCGGTTCAACAGAAATTGCTGTGCGATTGCTGTGCGGGTCTATCAGTGGCTTGTCCACGATAGGCTTTGCAGCCCGCAAGGTCGGACAGCCCCACTTCCAATCGCTCACGAGGCTGGTCATTTGTGGCACACAACAGGGTGCAGACGGAAACAGATAGCATCGCCTGTTCACAGGTGGCTCAAATGCTTTGTGAGGGATGGGACATCCTGGCAAGTGGAAGGTGTTAGGCGCCATTCGATGAGCGGCTTGATTCTATATTGAGTCGAGCCTCTGAGGGCAGAAGAACTGCCCAGCGCGAGCTGTCAAAAGGAACTGCTGATGCCCTCAACTGGTCCAGCATACGGTCGTGCCAAGATGAGACAGGCGGCGACCGACGCAGCCCGGCCCATCTGCGCATTGGCTGTAGCAGAGCTTTTTGTTGGTCATGATGATAGATGCCCTGTCCTTCCCTGTGTCCATCCTGTCGAAACATGCAGACAGAGGGCCCCCCTGATATCCATCCGTTGATAACATGATTCCATATGCCATATGCAAGCAATTGACAGCCACTGTTGGTCGAACCTTTTGGTTTCACGGATTGTTGGCGATGGTGCTGTAACTGGCTTCGGCTCGGGGAGGCAATGTGTTCGAAGGAGGCCCACATCTTGGAAGAAGGAAGTTCAAAGACACGGATAAACTTAACCTCTCAGACTCAAAGCACCGAACTCCTGTATATGGTTGGAGCAGGTAATGAGCAATAAGAGACGTAGGGAAGAGTTGAAACGTCATAAAGTCAGCTGACATGTGGCAAGGTGTTTCAGTAAAGTGTGTCTAGATTCTAGCTGCCTTGTCAAGGTGTACAGGTCAAGTTGTTTGCATTGAAATTGAGAATTATTCTCATGCATTCTTTTTCCTAGGTGTTTGACCTGTCTCCCAGCGAAGCTGCTAGAGGTGCCTTGATCTGACTGCCTTGGTATGAAAGAGAGAACGCGGAGAACCATTTTGCTGTTGCTGTTGCTTCCTGGCGAGGTTTACCAGCAAATGGCTCACCCCCCAGTGAGCAGTGTTTTCAACTTGGGCCGTTTCGCACCGGCAGGGCCTGAATGTTTGGCTAAGGTGACAAAGTCAGGTCCCACACCCAGCTGAGTGCAATTTTTGTTGTATGACTTCACCTTATTCACAAGATTACCACTATGATAATGCGGGCGGCCTTCAAAAGGTCTGGCCCGCAGCTGAGGCAACTGCATGCAAAAGTTGGTGGCTTAGTCTGGCAGAATCCTAGTGTTGGTGTTTAGTGAAGGCGGTTTTTGATGTAAGAACTCCGCGGAGCAAACATCTTCGATGCTTCGGTGTCAGATGCCTCTCGTTCCTTCCAACCAGACTGGTCTCGTGCCAAGGGCGCTGGGGCTTTGGGTCTTTTTGCTGCTGATAGCGCAGCGCCTGCACGTTTGCCATTTGGCTTTGAGTTTGACACCCGAAAGTTCGGAGACGGGATTCTGCTGTGAGTGGGGTGACAGTTCTTCAACAGAGAGATTGCAATTGTGTGAGAATCATTTGGACGCACCATGTGAGACATGAACCCTGATCGCGCATTGCATGCCATTGCTCAAACCTGGCCATGAGGGCCGTTGAGCGAACAGTTGCAAAAGAGTGCCAAGGTCAGAGCACTAGTGGTGTTCGCACTGCTGCTTTCTGAAAATGACAGCGGAGCTGTCACGCTCCAGCGTTCTCCTCTTGTACCATCGCGGACGCTAGCTCCATAAATGAGGTGCAATCACGCTGGAAGGTCAATAATGTCAACAAAATTCAGGTGTTTTTAGAGCGTTCCGAAGTTCTACAGCTGCAATTTGGCGTGGTGCTTTTGCCAACCTGAAAGAGACATAACGTGTCAACGTGGCGAGCAACAAACCGATTCCCCGTTCCAAATAGTGCCAGGCTCATCTATGCTCATCAGGCATTATTGCCGCAGCAACGTGATCAGAGCCTTTTTTGCAGGAGAGGGAGGGTCTTGCAGAGGGAGAGGTTCGGTGCATCAATTGTTCCCTTCACGGCATCAAATTCCTGGCATCATTCAAATAGGGTTGGTTTGAACTTTGCTTTTACACCTTGCGCTTTGCTTGTTACACTATATATCCGATCTCAAACTCAAACCCCATAGATGATGAAGATCCAAAAGACATTTCACCTAGTATCGGAATCAACTTCATCAACAATACCGAAGAGGATGATGACGATATCGGTGGACGAAGCCCTTTATCAGCATCTACTATGTCCACCAATCTACCAAGTGAATCCAAGTGATGATGATTACATGGTCGAATGGGAGGAATGGACAGCAAAAGAAGATGGCTTCGGACCTAGGGCAGTATGGGATCCAATGGATATCTATGACTCTACCACCGGTAAAGGTCATGGACAGTATGGCAGATAGATACTTCTTTGTGGTTGTTGGACTCCATCAACTTCTGTGGATTTAGAGTGATTTAGGGGATTGCAGGGGTAGCTATGGGTGATTCTGATGCGTCCGCAAAGACGAAGGCACCACACCCACTCCATCAAATCTTGCTGCTCCCTCACCACATTGCAATGTGCTACCGGAGTGATGGTGTTGAACCAAGGTCAGCCAAGAGATCTGGCGGTGCAGACCGTCCACCTGCGGCTGCGCTGCAGCCTGTGGATGAAGTGCTAAGCCAAGTGGGCAAGTGCGAGATCGAATCGAGTCCTTGCGACCGAGCCTACCCACACAGGTGGAGCCGCTGGAGCCTTTTAATCACCCTGAAGAAGGCTGCTCACGTCAGAATCGACGTGTTGGAAGTTTGAGATGTATAGCAAGAGACCAGCAGGCACCGTTCTACTCACTGATTTGTTTTGTTTGAAGTTTCTTCAGGTAAAGTGAGCGAGGCACATTCTATCAAGGCTCAGTTGTCCTCGCACAGTGTTGGCAATTCGAGGGCTTGACTCGACATGTTTGGGCATATTGCAAGGATCCATTGGGCAGCTTCGAGAACAACAGCCCACGACCGTCCTCACCACAGCATAATGATACACTTTTGATGTTTGCTGCTAGTTCTCGATGTTTCCTGGAGATGATTTGATAGAAATTTGAGGCCGCCAAGGCCTGGTGACTTCGAGGATGTGGGACATACCAACGCTCATGAAATGTGCAGTTTCACATTTTATTGGCAGCTTACAAGAGTGCTTTAGTAGTTTGATATTCTCTCAGGAGCTTTCCAACGCGCAGACACCCTAGTTGGATCATGCCGCAATCTATCGTGTTTCGGGCTTTTTGGTGCCTCAACGCTCCAAACCATCCGTTGTAGCCATTAGCAGGCCGATGGTGTTTCGTTTCTTTCTCGATTTGTATGTTGTTTTGGGTCTTGCAAGTGATGGGGTTTGAACTTGTTTGGCACACTCTTGAGTCTAGTCTAGTCCTGAGCTTGACTCTTGACTGTGTAGGTTTGTGATCGGAACTGCCCAGTTCAGGCCACACAATTTGCCAGGGGCAGATGCAGACCATTTGCATGGGTCATCCCAACATGTTTGCAGCAAAGCACAAAAAAGATTGTGGCTGAGTTGCTTGACTGGTGCAATGCGTAAAATCAATGGCAGCCAACAAGAGGGAGAGAAAGAGAGAGAGAGAGAGAGCGAGTGTGTCTGAGATAGATTTAGGTGGACTAACGTCAATAGTATAGATGTGGCAATGTGTGACTTTACTAAGACTTTCACAGGCTCAGGCTCATGAGTGAGACCTGTTACAGCTCTATATATAAATCAAAGGGGGCTTGAAATTGCTGTATCCGCAGGAGGTTGGGCTTGAAAGCGGATGGCTCACTGTTGGTGAGTCCAACTCCACTGCCGCCTGGTGGCCTGTCAGACGAGGAGAGGTCAAGCACGAGTGCTTGGTTTACTGAATTCAGTCATGTCCAGCTTTTTGGATCCTTGGATCCTTGCCTCTGCATGTCGGCTTTATGAAAGGTCAGGAATGATCACATCGGTCCATGGCACCAAGGCACATACATATTGAAGTCAGAGACTAACGGCTGAACCATGGCACAAGCCCCCCCTAACTTGGATAGCTTAGCGGCCAAGATGAGCATAGGGCAACCAATTCGCACTGGGCTCGTCAGACTGGTGTATTCCTTGTTTTTCCAATTGTAGCAGCCACTGATCTGAAGCATCATCAAGTCTGCAGTCTACAGGCCGCCTCCGTCGTGTGGACTGTGTTGGACTATTATAGTGGACCAACTGACACAAAAAGACTCAACAGCATCCCATAACTTCTTGATGTTTCGGGACACTGTCCATGACCCTGAGCAGAGCCAATGAGCACCATGAGCGATACCGATACCTTTGCTTTTGCTTCAGCAGGATAGACGTGATGCCCATCGGGGGTTCTGTTTCAATTCGCTCCGACCTTAAAGGGTTCGGAACCAAACGATCGGTTTTCATGTTCAGCATGTCATGTGTGTGTTTTTTTCTCACCACACTTCCCGCACACGGAGTTATGGCCCTTAGCCATACCCGTACCCAAGGCGCGTGAGTGACTCTTTGCCATTGGACAGGCTCGATGTGGGCGCTGAAAATGTGCAAGTGTTGGGGCTAGCTACTGACCGTGAGGCAACAGAAAGATGCAGTTGGCTTAGACGCTTCGCCTTTGAATGTTCGTAGCTTGGAAACCAAACACTGGACGCTGAGTTCCGGTCGGCGGCCTGCCGGAGAAAGGCAGAAGGCAGGAAAGCATGTGGGCATGTTTGTGTGCTGTATCAATGACTTAACAGTGGGTGTAGGTTGCAAGAGCGACGGAGGCAGCAATTGAATGCCCTCAGAGTAAGTATGTAGTTTCCGCATGATGAAAGCCAGGATATCCAAAAGATCTTCCAACAGCCACCGTGTCTCCTCTTGTTTACGCGTTTAGGAGGGTTCAAGCATTGATTAAACTCCTTGGAATGGTTTGAAGTATGAGCGTGGCAGGTCGTAATGGTTTTTCACAACGAAGCGTTTTCCGCGCTTGTGAGGCAGGGCCGCCAGGCTTAGCTTGGTTGGCGCGTTCCGTGTAGATCAGATCAGATCTTTGGTTGCTGGAGGGTATCTTCCAAGTTATGATCAAAGCAGTTGCTCTCTATCTCTCCCCCTCTCTCTCCCTCTCTCTACGTGCAAATGTTTAAGTATTATGGATTTATATGCCCTCCCTTACTGTAAAGTTAGAATGCCCGCTTTTTCCATCTTTTTCCCAAAATTTACAGTAGCAATGAAACTTAGAATGAATGCCCAAAAAAAGTTCAAGGGAAATGCAGGTTTGAACCAAACCAAGGAAAAGGCTGTCTAACTTTCAGCTGTGATCCACCTAACAATACGTATCGCAAGGCCTTTCTCCCGTCCAAATTGGAGGATTATATTGTCATAAGACTTCCAAAAGTGCATCTTCTGCGAGGGAGGGACCCATTTCCATGATTTTTGTATGGTTGTCGATCTAAAGGTCCTAATAGGGATTGTCGATGACGGTGACCCTGGAACATGTCAAAAGCTCATTTGGCGAACGGTTGTCACGAAAGCTAGCCTTAGCTAGCTGGAGTTGCTCTTGCTTTAGCAAGTTAAGTGACGGGGTGGACGCACCTCAGAAACCTCAAATAATTGATTAAATCAATCTTATGGACCCCCCCCCGCCGGGGGTTCGACTCCCCCCTGCGCGCGGTGAGCGGGACCACCAAGCAGCTGCAGCACACCAAGCATCTGCAGTCTACCACCAAGCAGCTGCAGCAAACCACAAAGGCGGAGCAGCAGCAGCAGAAGCAGCAGACCCAGAGCAGCAACCACGGCAGTTACCCAGTGAGAGTGACTGTGCAGCCCGCCCCCGACTTGTTTGGACGAGGAGGCCCGGCTAGCTTTCGTTCACCCCCTCTGGCCTCAAGTTTCTCGAGTTGGCGAAGGTATTTTTTTGGCGACGGATATGGCTAAAGATGTTCTTCTTTGCTGCTGCTGCTGCTACTACTACTACTACTACTCCTACAACTGCTGCTGCTACTGCTACTACTCCTGCTGCTGCTGCTACTCCTCCTGCTGCTACTACGACGACTACTACTGCTACTGCTACTGCTACCACTACTACTACTGCTACTACTACTACTACTATGATGCTGCTGCTGAAACTACTGCTACTACTCCTGCAGCTGCTACTGCTACTACTAACTACTACTGCTGCTGCTGCTGCAACTACTACGACTACTACTGCTACTACTACTACTACTGCTACTAACTACTAACTACTCACTATATACTAACTACTAACTACTAACTACTACTACTACTGCTGCTACTGCTACTACTACTACTACTGCTGCCACTACTACTACTACTACTACTACTACTACTACTACTACTTGCGACTTGCGACTTACTACTACTACTACTGCTGCTACTGCTGCTACTACTACTCCTCCTGCTACTGCTGCTACTACTCCTGCTGCTGCTCTGGGGGCGCGGCTCTGCCACAAAACTCTGCCCCGCAAAAGGCGAAAGTTTGGCGCAAGTTCAGCTCAAGATTGGCGAAAGCTCACCCTGCCACATCTGACCCCTAGCCCTAGCCCCTGAAATTATGAGCAAGTCTGAGCGACTGGCTACCACAGTGATTCTTGCAATTTTCACCAAACAGGTTTATTTGTCAGGGTTCGTGCTCCTTTGAAAGGGGTGCATGAAACGGCCGCATGATTCTACATTTGTCTCATCGCATGATGTTGTTTGTTTCCCACTTGCGCCCCACTGTCTCCACTCCTGTGGGTACTTTGGCTGCGTGGCAGAAAAAATTTGAAAGGGAAGAGCGCAACTTTGGGCGGATTTCGTCTTTAAACATTCAGCAAGGGATTGCTTGTGTTGTTCACAAAATCAGACGCCGCGGCAATGATTTGGCACCTGACGCCTACATTGAAAATACCAATTTACAAAATGAGCTTGGACTTGGACGACCAAGCAAACTGTTTGGGGTCCACGCTGGTACAGTTTTGTTCTTGCAGACACCCAGGAGAAACAACAGAGACGTACAGGGTGCCAACTGTTAACTAGAAGACACATGCTGACAACGTTTCTATATCGTATCTGCCAGTACGGAAGAAGCCACTGACAAGAAACAATGATAGATAGGTAGATATATATATATATATCCGTCATACAACACACATGGCAAACATAAATACAACATACTCCGACGAACGATGAAACGCAGGAAGGCGAAAGTTTGGCTAAAGTTAATTTTTTGGCTAAGAATGACGGATCCCGGATGAAGGAATTTAGATCAACACCCATATATCACCCTTCCAAAGCGAAGAATATGTGAGGGACAAAAATAGGGCGCTTCTTAGGGAGGGACGCGTTTCCATGATTAGTATCGCAAGGGATCACCCCTTCCAACTTCAGGGTATATGTCATTCTACTCAGGATATACATATAAAGCGAAATTGTGCAGATGGCTATGATCGAGTGTAGAACATGTTTCACTAGCGGGCGTCTTGGGCACAAATCTGTCGAGTTTGGTAGCGGAGCCTAGTGCTTCCTTGAGTACCTCATCCCAGGCCCCGTGGACCTCCTCGATTACAAGTTTCCTCGAGCGCGATTCCACCAACCTCCGGGAGCATCCCACTGGAGCACTGGCGGGACATTCCGCCAGGCTGGATTCCAGGTGATGCCTCATACCCATTGAGGACATTATCGGCAAACTGAAGCTTTGGTACCGGATCGCCAACGTTAAAGATGAGGCCATTGGGCCATTGGTTGCAGGGCGACTCTATGGACGAGCATCCACGATCGCCATGACACTGCGCAAGACCTGATGGCGCCCACGACGCGGGCGACGCGGCCTTGGCCAGGCTGGCCGTGGACGAGGTCACGTGACCCGACGACCAACGTGGTCATTCAGAACCCGATCCCATCGGGAGTGCCGTTCCTGGCAAACGCACTCCGCGCGGCCTTTGGCCAGCAAGATCAAGATCTTGCAACGCAAGCCTTGGACAAGTTCTTCTGAGTACAGTGTGGAGTTCGACAGCCGATATGATGATGATGCTCAATACGACCTGGATTGCAGTTGAGCGACGTCGGCAAGTTCTTCTTATGGTTCAAGAACTCAGGATTGCCATCCAAGACGGTGGGTGACATCAAGCTACAGGTTGCCGGCGGCTACTACGCGCGCTTCAACGATGCAAGAGCCTTGGCACTGCGCATCAACCCCAATCGGCGCAACCTGATGACACGCAGATCCTCCACGCGGAGAATGGGGAGTCCCGCAATGGTCACTATGACTACTACCAGGACTGGGGCGACGAAAACGAGGCCGAGGATGCATGGTGGCATGGCTATGAAGAAGCCGATGAAGGCGAATGGGTCTACGAGGAGTACCCCAACGATGAGAGCTACTGTGAGAGCCAGAATGCCAGCGATGAATCGTGGCAAGAAGTGGGTTTGGAAGCTGGCGTGACCTCTGGCTCACGTGACTCCAACATCTCCGGGGAGTGCAATGAAGCCTTCTACAAGGGCAACAAAGGCCGTCCACAGGATTGCGACGATGGCGATTTAAGTTCAAGGGCAAAGGCAAGGGCAAGAGAAGCAATGGAAATTGCAAAAGCAAAGGCTATGGACAGCCGGAGTACACGACTAAGGACTACCTGACTACCTACTTTACCATGAAGCTCAAGATGAGCTTCATGGTCTTCAATATGAAGAAGGAAGAGACGCAGATGAGCTACCACATGGTCCATGGCCAGGAGCGACAGTCCGACCGCATCTGGTCTTGTTGGCAGTGAGACCCTGAACGCTCAAGAACTGTTCCAGTCCATGGGTGAGATGGAGATCACTCCTGTCTCTGGCATTGTTTCAGGTTGCAGCAAATCGACTCTCGGCAAGGTTACTTTGACCATGGCAACAGCTGGACAAAGCATCACATACACGGCGGGGTCATTGGTGGTGCTGGCAGCTTGTGTCCCGCACTTGTTGGTCCTGAACACCAAGGACGCATGGACACCTTCGTCCTCGGAGTCGCGCTCTTAATTGGCGATAGGCTCTTGCTCTTGGACTGTGTCTGCTGTTCCTCGTCGACGAAGTGGATCTTCCGTGAAGCAGCAGGGTTCCGCGAACAAATTCATCTTCTTCTTCTTCGTTTTTCTCACACGCCAAAGGACCAACCCGTGGTCGCATGTCAGGCCAAACTTTCGAACCGCAAATGGTTCAGCTTGCATGCTGTGGCCAGCCAGGAGAACGCAGCTGACTTCGGGACGAAGGCATTGCCTGTGAAGAGGTTCAATGAGCTCGCTCCACTGGGCTTGCCCTGGGGTCTATGCGGCGCTTGGAGTTTTTGGGTGGGGGGGTGGGGGTCTCTTCGGGTTTGCCTTGCTGGCTGTGGCTGTGGCCGATGCAATTTGACTTCGTTCAGGTTTTGATCGTGTGTTGCATTCTTCTCTGTGCCGAATTTGCAGCGCACCACCTTTCGATAAAAACCCTTTTTGAAAAAATTTGATTGGCCAAAAATTTGCAGTCTTGCATTTCATTCTTGAATTTGCACATGGCACTTACAGTGATGACTGTACTTGAGAACACGGGACTGTGATCCACATCCGTGCAGCTCTGGCTGAATTTTCAGATAGGCCGGGGCGCGTTGCAATCCAACACGGGTTGGACGCGGGGATGGGGGGTTCCACTGGGTCCCGTTAGGACGGGCGGCGTTCGGTGCCATGGACAGGTTTTGGCCCAATCTTGATCCTGTTGTTCTTGGAACTATTCAGAGATATTTTCGGACCCCTCTTCTTTTGCAAGCTGCTTTTGATGACCACGATGAGTGTCAGAGTTTCTTGGCAGACATGTTCCCTGACATGGTTGAGGAGGAGCTTAGGAACTCGGTTGCCGAGCTCTTGAGGTGGCAGTCGGATTCAGCCCTGGCCTTGAAGCGTATGCGCTTAAATGTTGTTTCGGATAGCATGTATTTCCTACCGACTCATAGGCATGGCAGTGTTGATTTGAGAGAGTCATTTCGTTCGAT